ACCCGGTTCTTATGCCGACAACAAAAATGTGGTAGGTTGACCTTATTGTAATATTAATAATCTTTTTAATAACGTATCTTACATGAGCTTTATCTAAATTAAAATAATAATGATAATAATAAAAATAATAATAATAATAATTATAATAATAATAATATTAATAGTAATAATAATAATAATAATAATAATAATAATAATAATAATAATAATAATAATAATAATAATAACAATAATAATAATAATAATAATAATAATATTTAATTTTGTAAACTTACAACTGCAAATCTCACTATATAAGGTAATTTAGAATTGGCAACTTGATATATTACTATTAAATGATTTTATAACGCACCATTAAATGTAGTCTATTACTCTATATACATACTTATACCATAAAATTTTAAAGTTTCATCTAGTCCGGGTTCACCCGTTTCTTATGTCGACAACAAAAATGTAGTAGGTTGACCTTATTGTAATATTAATAATCTTTTTAATAACGTATCTTACATGAGCTTTATCTAAAATAAAATGAAAACTTTATTAATAGAACATTTATAGATATATACAATTGTAAATCTCACTTCTTGAGGTAACCTACAATTGACTACTTGAATCACTTATACGTGCATGGTTATAATTTTATATACAAAAATTACTACTTATTTACAGAAATAGTTACTTCAAATGTTCATTAGTTCGGGATTTGTCCATTCTTTATTTCTACAGCAAAATATGTAGTACGTTGATCGGATGGCAATAGATATAATTTTTCTGATACAATATTGTTGGTGTTGATTATCCAGTCCTAACTCATTTAGCATTTTTACGAATGTATGACATTCTTTGTCAAACACCCCTAGCGAACTGACAGAAAGATTTATAAATTTGACAGATGTAAAGTTTTGATCCAGTTCTCTAATTAGGTTTTTATATTTATCTTTCTTGCGGTTAACATTGTTTGTGAGGTTTGATTCAAAGCCTACGGTAAGTTCGACAACGTAGAGGTGTTTGTCTGAAGTGGAGACAAGTAAATCAGGACGATATTCATCTCCCGTAATAATCGAGGGGCTTTCAAATCCAGGAAGATCAACATGTAATTTGCATTCGTTTAAACTTTGAAAAGTTTTTGCAAGAAAGGTTAGTATACAATCGTGTCTCCAAGTAAATCGTTCCAGGTAATGTTGACAACCGGCAACAACGTGTAGAAGTGATTCAGGGTGTAAGCAGAACGAGCAGTCAGAACTTGATGAAATTCCCCATCTACTGAGGTTCTTTCGGGTAGGAAGGGTATTATTTATGTAGCGAATTGTAAAGTTGAAAATGTTCTTTGGTAGCTTTGATTGCGATACCGACCAGATTGCGTTAAGTTGTGATAGCGAGAATTTAGAAACATTTTCGAAAAAGGAACCTTGACATTTCAAACGGTTCCTAAGTTTATTTTCTTGTTGAGAATGGAAAGTTTTTAAAACTTCTTTAGTTGAGTTGTAGTAATAATAATAATAATAATAATAATAATAATAATAGTAATAATAATAATAATAATAATAATAATAATAATAATAATAATAATAATAATAATAATATAATAATAATAATAATAATAATAATAATAATAATAATAATAATAATAATA